GTTTTAAAGAATTCAGTTCTGGATCCGTATCTGAGACATGCTTGGATTGATCGAGTTCAAACTTCACACACACAAGGTACATCATGTCACAAATATGTATGTGCATTTGTTTCATGATCTCATTAACGATAGCCAAATGGCGGCCGCTTTAAGGCCGAAAATGCATTGAAATCGCACATTTTCACCATTCCGGACCCGGATCTCAGTTATGCATGGACGGATTTCATTCAAATTTGGTACATACATTAAACATAATAGGACCTTGATGCACGTCATTTTTTTTTTCAGATCAAGTTCGAAATGGCCGACTGGCGGCCATTTTGTTTTAAAGAATTCAGTTCTGGATCCGTATCCGAGACATGTCTGGATTGATCAAGTTCAAACTTCACACACACAAGGTACATCATGTCACAAATATGTATGTGCATTTGTTTCATGATCTGCTTAACAATAGTGGAATGATGGCCATTTTAAGGCCGAAAATGCATCAAAATCACGTATTTTCACAATTCCAGAACCGGATCTCAGTCATGCATGGATGGATTTTGTTCAGATTTAGCACAATGTGTTGTACATATGCAGGTGCATTTCGGTCATGATCTGCTTTGAATGTATATGTCACTCAAATATGAACGGGACGTGTCATTGACAATGACTTGTTTTGCAATTGGATCAAAGATGGTCGACTGGTAGGCATCTTGTTTTTGTTTTTTTATGCGGTATCTTGGACGTGCTCTGTCAGTTTTCATTCAAATTTGGCACATACATGTACTTTATGCATGTTAGGAGGCATGTCCATGACAATTTGTTTCAAAATCTGGTCAAGGATGGCCGATTGACAGCCATCTGACTTTTTGGCCTTGCTACTATATTTCCACAATTTATGTACCATTTTCATTCGTATTTGGCACATACATCATACATATCAGTGTGTTTCTTAATCAGATCAAACATGGCCGAATAACGGCTGTTTTTATTTTTGACCATATTACTACTACATGGAACACATGTTTTGATGTAAATAAACAATCTGTTATGTATGCCACCTGGGACTCAAGTTTCAAGGACACGCTTGTGACAACCCCTCCGCTTTAATATGACTAGCACAATGGGGACTGTGTCATTTTCAATGACTTGTTTTTCAGTCGTTGAAGACGAAGCCAAAACAAACACCACAACTTTGCAAGGGATATTCAGTTTTCTAAAGAACATTGATAGGGATATGATCAGTTTATTTTGGTGCCCATTGTAATTCAATAACTTTGTCGTTATCTTCATCATCAGAGGGTCCTGGTCCCATTGCTAAGTCCAGCCTTGTACTTGATGTCAAACCAGTGAGTAATCGTTCTGTTCACTATTTATTACTGTATAATAATAGGACAAGACATGTTACTGTAAGGTTGTTCACTATTTAATAATTTGTTTTAATTTTTTTCATGTACTTTACCAGTGGGATGATGAAACAGGTAAGATAAGTATTGAACTGCTAGCATAGTGATTAATCCATGCATGGATGTGTATACTACAATGGAAACCAATTGATCCTTGTGTTTCAGTGTGGTTACTGGTATAGCATATCATACTGCTCCCTTGAGATGTCACATAGTCTCAACATTGTATATGGTTTCCTTGGCACCAATCATAAATCACAGTGGCATTCATCATCTTAATTTGTCAAGTATTAAAAACAAACAGCTATACCGTTAATTGCCAGCACAGTATAGAGATAACGAGTATATTTAGGGATGAATCACAACTACATGTTGGAGATCATGTTGGAATAACATAAATATGCATTCTAAAGTGCACACAAAACTAAAATAAATCTCTAGAATCAAGCAGTAACAGAAGACATTCCTTTTTTTGTTCCAAAACATAGGAACTGTAGATATATTAATTTTGTTATTTCATAGCAGTACTATGTAATCTCAAGATGATGATAACATGTGTTTTGATCATGTGTTGTCAGCCAGGCTAACATGACCTCTCTTGGTATGACATCTAGCATTGTATACTTTTAGACAAACTTGAGGTTGTTGATAAGTGTGACTTGTAATAATAATAATAATAATCTTTATTGAAACCGTATCCCGGAGTGGGATCTTAGTTGAAAATACAATAAAGTAATACAAAAAAGATAAAAAATAACACAAGACATTCAAAGACAATAGAAAATAAAAAATAAAATTTAATTATTTGGCGGTTGGTTGAGGCAACTGGCATTTTAAGATTTTTTCTTGTCGTAATTTGAAACAAGTGTGGATGAATTTTCCTAGTTCAATGATTGTTTTGTCATTTTTAATTTTTAGTATATTTGTAAGTTTTTCGTCATCCGTCCCCAAGTTGCTTATATTGTATTTAATATTCTTGATCATGATTTCTCGTTCCTTCTTGTATAAATCACAATTGAGAAGAAAATGTTTTTCGTTTTCAATTTCCTGTTTGTCACAAACTGGGCAAATTCGGTCCTCCGCTAAAATTTGTATTTGACAAATTAATACTATTTTCTCAACAGATATGAATGAGGTTGAAAAACTTGTACGTACCATCAAAGCAGAGGGTCTGCTATGGGGTGCTGGTATGTATCTCTCTATTCCTATTTACAAACATAGCAAAACTATTGAAACCTTGCCTGCAAGGGAATAGTTGATACAACTGGTTAAGTTGAGACTAGGAATTGGCTAAATTTTTGAAATAGTGAAATTTTATAACATAATTTTCATTTCTTATCACCAATGTCACGCTAAAGTATACATTTGGGGGCGGGTGATTTTGTGATGTTCTGCTTCCATCGATTTTGTTGATTTCATTTTACTTCAGAATAGCTAAAATGATCATTAAGGTAATGTGAAATAGGAAATGATTCACTATTGCTAGAATATGTGATAGGAAGTTGTAAAACAGTAAACAGTATGACATTCTGATATGAACAGTGTTTTGATTTATATGTGTTATTATAGATACCCATAAATATACTTTAGTATGTACTGGCATATTATTACCGTTTACATCATATTGTTCTAATATGTCCAATATAAGACACAAAAAACTCATGGGCATCATTTTCCATACCAGGATTAAATAGTTCTGTACTTTCAATGTATTTCGGTAACCATGCTGCACTATTAAAACTGTTGATACCCAAATACATCTGGATTCAGGGATCTCGCCAGCCCAACGTTAGTGCCGGTCGGTCATGAATATTAATTAGCAATGAATATTAATGAGTTAGGTCGCAGTGCAAATATTTTTTGACATTATGTTTCACAATGAAATATATTCGAAATGCAAATGCTGCAGACTATAAAACAGAAACAAATAAATTATTGTTGCAATATTAATGTCTATTGTAAAAAGTTAAATAAAACTCATTTGAAACGTTTCAGCCAGGAATATGTTTACAATCTTATTTACTCCAAAAACATTCTCCTTCAAAAATTATTTGACGTATTGTTGTAATTTATCATTCGTACCATCAACTTCTGAAACGTATATATTCACAGTAATGAACAAACTATTAAAACTTCCAAACTTTCAAAGTTACGACGTGACATAACTTACTTCGCGATGTTATACACTGATTATACCAACAATTCCTCTTACTCAGTCATGATGCCATGCAAAAAATGTTGCTTCTTTTTTTTTTATATGAAATAAAAGTAAAATTTGACTTAGTTTTATCGGGAGTGGTTATTTTTGATCACTCGATCGCTTCGGTAAAATACACAGACCCGCCATGATGTTTGTGACGTATTAGTTGACCGGCATGTGTCCTTTGACCCGATGGATCAAGAATGCCATTATCCAATCAGAATGCCGCATGGTAATGCCGATAGAATCCGAAGTTTTCCGATGTCGTAGCACGATGTGTTGGCATCGATTTCAGTTGAAAATGGCATGATGGTTTTCGAAACAGGTGATTAGCAATTTTTAAAAGGTAAAATAGGTCTTGAAAGAAGAGTTTTTTCATGATTCGTGATGATAACAGTTCAAATGAATTTTACCAACTCGCGCAATAAACACATTCGTTCTTGAGTAGCGTAATCTGATCGTGAACTCCGCTTAAACCATGTTACACAGTGGTGGAATTGAATTTGAAAGGATTTTAGCTTTCAATCTAAAGCGGCCTATCGCAGAAAGTATTTAATTACAAACAAAGAGGTGCTAATTCCACAAAATTGACAAGCCGCTACACGACTAGGTCTATTGTTTACAATTATAAACCACGACTGGCAGGATGCTTGTCGGTCGGTACATAAATTATAACAACAATCGGACAATAGTCCTGGTCGGTAGCATTTTCGTGGTGGTCGCTAATTTTGAGCGTGGCAAGATCCCTGTGGATTACATGACAAAGAAGATGGTGTTTATTTTTTCGCCGTTGATGGGTTTTTGATTTGGTATGAATGTAGCTTACAAATGCTAGTACTTGTATAATAACATTTTGATAACATGTCCAAGGTTTTGTAACCCAGCACCAGGGAGTCCATTTATACAATCTAACCAATCAGTACTCACAATATTCTTTTGATACAGGTGAAACTGATTTGGTAATTGTATTACATTTGAAGATATTTCACTTTGATTTGTTAGTCTGTTTGTGTATTATTTGATCCATAAAATTATCAGCTTTATGGGTAACAACATTCTACATGATTACCTGACTGAGGAAATACTTCACTACTTACTTCAAGGTTTTGTTGTATACTGTACTGTTGTGGCTGTGACTTGCATACTCTTATTTTAGCATGTATTTATGATTTTGTTCATGTTTAATTCTAAAACTCTTTTTCTTAAGTCGAGGCATTCTAAATAATAATAATATTGGAATGATATTTATATAATTGTGCAAAGTTAACTTAATAGTCTGGAAATTAGCAAATACTGCTCAATAAACAATAACTACTACTGGTATATATGCCAACTTATCATATAATTAGAGAGTTTAAAATTTGCGTAACGTGTTGTTCTGATTTTGTTTGCGTTACGTTCACGGGTGTCAGAAAACGAGTACAAGCGCCCACAACGGGAACGTAACTGAAACCAGAACCATGTCAATCCGTCTATCATTGGGCAATCATAACTATCCAATAAAATTTGTTATGTCATTTAACGTCCGGAATCAGAATTAGTAGTTAGTTCCCAGACATTTGACAGAGCTCTCGCTATTCCACCCACTCAGCTGAGGTTCCAGGCCTGTTTGCCGACCTCTTTCAGCAGATCAATATCATGCGTTTTCAGTGGGTATAAATGTCAGCTAAAATGCATCCAATATTTCTTATTTCATCATAAATATACAAAATCACTCTAATATAAAACTTTTTTTTCAATGTCAGTAAAAATTGATCAAAATTGACAGCGAGAAAAGCTCTCGGAAATCAACTATGAGTCAGTCACCTTGATCACGTTCAAAACGACTGCCGTACGACCAGGCAACCGATGACGTCATTGGTTCGCGCGGAGGTCATGCACAAAGCAGTGACGTATCCGTTCTCGTATGCGCATCTTAATGTCTCTAACATCTTATGTGATTTAATAGGATATAACCCATTGTACAGTAATAACTTTACAAAACTTATTGCACTTAGTTCATAACTCACTCAACAATGAGGACTAGTACCGAGTACTACTGCTTACAGTAGAATATCATCTTATAATGTTTAACAAACTAAGTAAACTAAAAGAATGTGTTTGTATTGACGACAGTACCAAACTCACAGTAAAACTGACATATTCTTATAATTATCTCGTTGCCATATTTTTTTGTAGAAATTTTACTCTTTTGATGGGGTTCAGCTTTTGATATTTCAAGTAGTAATGATCACATTTCAATGAAACCTGGTACTAGTACATAGTTACTTGAGGACTGTGCAGAGACCTAATTAGTTTTTGGGGTAAATATTTGTGCATATTAATCACCTTATTAGCATAATTAGTTAATTTTTAGCTTTTCACCTGATATCTCAAGTACTAATCATCACATTTCAATGAGACTTGCGACATAGATCTTTTAGTACTATACAGAGACCTGATTAATTTGGGGATAAATAATTGTGCATATTAATTATCTGATTTGCATAATTAGTTAATTTTTTGCTGTTCCATGGCTGTTGCACTGATGTCTAAAGTACTCATCATAACATTTCAATGAACCTAGGACTATACACCATATTAGTTTGTGGTAAATATTTATGCCTCTTAAGGTAGCGGGACTATTATTTGCATACTTGTTTTCATCTTCTAATTGTGACCAAATGACTACAAATAGACCTAGGAAAGTATGTATTTTTGGAATCGCCAGACTTCAAGCTTTTCAAAGGTGTGTTTGCCATGCCTGTATCTGCATTCTACGGTGCTTTACTTAATGAAAAGTGAAAAATTACTTTTTTTGTAAAAAAAATAATTACACATTTATGCTGGTGATAACAAGTTGTTTTTTCACTTTTCCCAGTTGTTCAATAGCCTGGTAAATTGAATGTGTCTGGTTAGTTTTATTCAAGCAACACGTTTTGAAAAGTAGTGTTCTGAATTTTAATTTCTGTTTTAGTCGCATTGCCCCCAACTCAAACCACAACACATTGTTAAATAATCCATGAAATAGTTTGTCTGGACACATTCAAGCTCCTCTCATTTGCTATGTTCACACGGCAGCATTCTATCGGAGCCGAACTACTGCTCCTCCCACGGATTAACAGGAGATTATCTACAATACGTTCATACGGTCGGGAGCCGAACGAGAGCCGAGATCTGCCAGAGTTAGATTCAGTTTGATCAGAG